GTTGGGGGTGGGGAGATTTTTGAAGCTAGTGAATTCTATGTTGAGGCCATTGGGTTGTAAGCTCCCAAGGTGGAATATAAGGTGTTGTTCTTTAAACTTCCTTGTGGCCTCATTGTGACATTGGAGGGGGCCCAGGATGGACATGTCACCAAGGGAGTGGGAAGGGGAGTTGAAATGGCTGGCAACCAGAAGGTGTTTTTGATTGGAGCGTACAGAGCGCAGATGCTCCCCGAATCGGTCACCGAGTCTGCGGTTGGCCTCTCCAATGTAGAGGAGACCACATTGGGAGCAACGGATGCAGAAGACCAGGTTAGAACATGTACAGGTGAATCCCTGTCGGATATGGAATGATTGATCGGGGCCTTGGATGGAGGTGTAGGGGCAAGTGTGGCACTTTCTGTGGTAGGAGGGGAAAGTGCCAGGTGTGGTTGGGTTGGTGGGGAGTGTGTAGCGGACGAGGGAGTCGCGGAGAAAGCAGTCCCTATGGAAAGCAGATAGAGTTGGGGAGGGGTATATCTCTTAGGTGGTAGGGTCTGATTGCAGGTGGCAGAGGGTGATGCGTTGGATTCGCCTCACTCTTCCCATTGACCAATCACCGAGCATGCACTGATGCTGCCTGACCTGCTGTGTTCCTCCAGCTCCACATTGTATCGATTCTGACCTCCAGCATCTGCAGTTCTTGCTATCTCCACGTTACAACAGTGACTACGTTTCAGAACGACTGTTGAGTATTTGTGAAAAGTGTGATATAAATGCAAATCTTTCTAACTTTTTAATTCAGTCATAAATGGGGAGTCACTCCACTGTCCTGTAGAACTGTACTCTGCACCATGTAGGTAATAATTTCCACTCAACATATGTTTCAGCTTTGTTTTTCATTTTTAAAATAATCCTTCCCAACATGTTTATTGTCCATGCATGTTAAAATAAAATACTTTGAGCAGCCTCCTAACATGGAGTTCAGTTGGAGATGAAGAGAGATTGGACATCCGTAATGAAGAGGAGATGGTTAGAGAAAGAAAATTTGAAACTTTGGAATGGATTTGGGTGGAGAGAAACAAGGGAGGAAATATGTAGTCAAGTTCAATAGGGCAGAAGCAGGCTAGGTCAACCAGAGCAGTCCTATTTGTGGCTCTTGGGAAGGAGATAGAAACAAGCTGATTGGAATTTGGGAATTATGAGGTAGGAAACTATGGAGGGAAGATCACTAGAAGAGATATGATTAATGGTCTGGTAACAGTGGCTTGTTGAGATCAGACTCCTTATTCAGAGTCCAAATTACAATGTCAGAGTGTTCATTTTCTTCTGAGGAAGGGTCACTCGACCCAAAACGCTAAGTCTGATATCTCTCCACAGATGCTGCCACACTTGCTGAGCTTTTCCAGCAATTTCTGTTTTTGTTTCTGTTTCACAGCGTCTGCAGTTCTTTTGGTGTTCTTCATTTTCTTTGCTCGTTAATATGTTTTTAAGTTTTCTGTTCACAGTTCTTTAAAAGTTCCATCAGAGATTTTGCATGCAGTATATGTAGTGACATAAGTTAAGCATGAAAAAAATTGCAAACTCGTTGTCACAGAACAGGGAGTTCACATGTCTTATAGTTCTGATATCATTGATGAATGGATGACATTTAACCAGTAACATTTGAAATCCTTTTATGCTAATTTAGTTTACTTGTATCATTTAAGGCTCTTGAGGAGATTTGTAGCTCGGGTTGTGGATGCTGTGGTTGGTTTGCTCGCCGAGCTGGTTCGTTAGTTCGCGGACGTTTCATTACCCTGCTGGGTAACATCATCAGTGCAGCCTCTGATGAAGCGCTGTTGTGTTTTCCTGCCTGGTATTTAAACTCTGGGGTCCATTGGATTTGATTACCTCATTTCCGGTTTTCCTTCTCAGTGGTGTGTATATAGGGTCTAATTCTACATGTTTATTGATTGCCTTCTTGGTGGAGAACCAGGCCTCTAGGAATTGCTGTGCTTGTCTCTATTTGGCCTGTTCTAGGATCCTGGTGTTTTCCCAATTGAACTGGTAGTTGTCCTTATCCGTGTGAATAGAGATGAGTGAGTATTGGTCGTGTCTTTTTGTTGCTAGTTGGTGTTCATGTACTCTTGTGGCCAATTTTCTTCCTTTCTGTCCAATGTAATGTTTTTGCAGTCCTTGCATGGAATTTTGTATATTACGTTGATTCTGTCCATAGTGGGTAAGGGGTCTTTCGTTTGAGTTAGCAGCTGGCATATGTGGGTTTGTGTGCTACTCTGATGCCTAATGGTCGTAGGAGTTTTGTGGTCAGTTTGGATATGTTCTTGATGTATGGTAGCGTGATGGGTGTGTTAGGGTGTGCAGTATCTTCCTGTTGTTACTTGTATCAGTTTTTTTGGGATTTGAATGACTTCTTAAAAGTGGCGTGTTATAAAAATTATGCTAAAAATTAAACTGGAGAGTTTTGAGATTTCAATTGTGATCTTCCTCCTGAAGGAGGTGGCACAAACAGTTTGGTGTTACAGAACTGTAAACTGTTGAGCATTTTTGTTGCATATGAAGTATTAGGGCATTATTAGCAGTGTAAAATATTGCAAGTCAAGCCAAAGCACTGAAATAAATTGAACAATCCAAGTTTTTATGATGAGTTAGTTCACATAATGTTTGAATGATGTAATGCAGTAATATCCAAGGTATAACAAGGTAGAGCTGGATGAACACAGCAGGCCAAGCAGCATCAGAGGAGCAGGAAGGCTGACATTTCGGGCCTAGACCCTTCTTCAGAAATCTGCAGTTCCTGCTATCTCATATCCAAGATATGTTTTTTTTTGCTATTCACCTGTGGGATGTCAGCATTGCTGGCTGGCCAGTATTTCTTGCCCATCCCTAGTTGCCCTCGAGAAGGTGGTGGTGAGCTGACTTCTTGAACCGCTGCAGTCTTCCTGCTGTGGGTTGATGCACAATGCTAATAGGGAGGGAATTCCAGGATTTTGACCCAGTGCCAGTGAAGGAACAGCGATATGTTTCCAAGTCAGGATGGTGAGTGACTTGGAGCGGGACTTGGAGGTAGTGGTGTTCCCATATGTCTGATGCCCTTATCCTTCCAGATGGAAGTGGTTGTGGGTTTGGAAGGTATTGTCTGAGGATCTTTGGTGAATTTCTGCAGTGCATCTTTTAGATAGTACAGACTGCTGCTACAGAGTGTTGGTGGCGGAGGGAGTGAATGCTTATGGATGCAGTGCCAATCAAACGGGCTGCTTTTTCCTGGATAGTCTCAAGCTTCTTGAGTGGTGTTGGGGCTGCACTCATCCAGGCAAATGGGTCTGCTGAAGTCTATGGCTCAGCACTTGTGCCTTTAAGTCACTCAGTTGTATGTTGAGGCCCTAAATCAGAGGCTCGAGTGCAAAATCTAGGCTGGCACTCAGATGAAACTTTCAATTTCTCAGGTAAACAAAAAAGATTGCATAGCATGACTCGTGAGAAAGCAGCAAGTTCTCCCATGTCCTGATTGATATTTGCCCCTCACGTATTATAAAAATCAATTTTTTGGTCATCAGTGCATTTCCATTTGTGGATCGTTGCTGTGACCAAATTGGCAGTTTATAAACAATGACTACACCTCAAAAAGTGTTTGGACTGTCCAGTAATTTGAGCTGTTCAGAGGTCATTAAAGGTATTCTATAAATGTGAAGCTTTTGTTTTAAAATACCAACTGTGAACTTATTAAATATAGCCTATGACATGCCTGTTTTGGTCTTATTTATAATGCAAGCCTCAAATTTTCAGAATTGTCAGTTCTGTATGCTAACAAAGACTATGTTATGATTGATTGGTTAATTTTAATCAATGAGAAAGCTTTACTGTGTGGAGTTGGAGGAACACAGCAGGTCAGGCATCATCAGAGGAGCAGGAGAGTTGTTTCAGGCCTTCCCTTCATCAGGACTCAGAGTGACAATAATGTGACTTGAAATAAATTGCACTTTCTTGTTTCTTGTTTCTTCGAGGCTTTCTTAAAAAAGAAATAACAAGTTAACACAGCTAATTTTGTGTCTGGAACTAATGTGTGCTTCAGAGAGGTTAGATTTAAACTCAACTTGTACAACATGTGGCAGCTTTTCCATTTCTCTTTTAAATGCAGTACCTTTCTCCATGCTGGATCTTTGTCAGGATGTGTTTGAAACAGGCAATGTACAATGGGGAAGAATTTGTGATTCAATTGGTGTGAGTACTTAGCTCCCAATTGGGAGATTGTGGGTTTTGTTCCATGTGTTGCCTACTGCTGAAACTTGTCCACCTTTGGATAAATTCTCTGTTCTTCACCAATTTAAGTATTCAGAAAATCTAGTTTTGCTTCCTCTTTATCGTGGTGTGAGGCGTGGAAATATATAAAAGAGTAATAAATCTCAACTTAGTGTCCAGTATGTTGTGTCTTAGGAGGAAAGTTCCTTTTATTTTACATAGGGCTGCATTTTTTAAAGTTCAGAGAGCATCTTTAAAGTTGGCAATCTGTAGAAACTAAATTCCATTTTCCTATATCGTATTCTTATTACTGCAGTCTCAACTCTTAGGTCAAAGTTGTTTAATTAGAAGTATTTGATTGTTCAGTTTCTTTGTAATAAATTCCCACTTTTTAGTTAAGCAATATGAATAACAATTATTTGGTTAATTCAAAACTTTTTGTACAAAAATAATTTCCACTTATCAGCAAATACTATTTTTATGAATAACTAGTGTCTATGGGTTGCAGCTTATGGGCTGAGGCAAATAATTATATCGTAATTCAATGTATGTTCAAAATATTTAAATTAGTTAGGTATTATGGCCAACTCTCTAAGTTCTGCGATATAATGGTTTGATTTTGCTCAATTTGAAATTTTTGGCTATGATCTGTTTAGTAAATGTGACAGCCTTTTGTCTCATTTTTGATTTTGCCATTTATTCTGGTGTAATGCTGCTGCTATGTTTTATATTTTCCTGTGAATGGTGGTGTAATATCTAAATCTTGCCTTTACTGTTCTCTGTAGAATGGCGAAGGAATGAAAACCAAAGTGTATCATATTGCCAGAGAAATCATGAGCTCCGAGAAAGTGTATGTATAGCGTTGATTTTGATATTAAAAAATTACAACAAAACTTGAATAATCTCAATTCATGTATAAGAGAATAATGCCATGGATTTTTTTGTCAACAGATTTGTGGATGTTTTGAAGCTTTTGCACATTGTAAGTAATTGATTTTCTGTTTTTCTACTTTGAGTCTCTTGCATTCTTTGAAATCAGTAGATGAAAGAACATGATCAGAACAGGTGGCTCATATAGAATGTGTTGCACAACAAAGTATCTGTAATAGGATCCCCTTCTGAAATGCAGTGCTTTGGTGTGGCCATAAGAAATAAACTTGAATGAATTTTAGATAACATTCTAGTCTTGTACTCCTGAGAAAGAGTCTTAGTGTGCACTGGTCAGCTGTCACATTCTTGAAGAAATGAGTGGTTGCCCATGAACAACAGTGAAAAGGATTCAATATCCATTTCAGATGTGTATGAGGTTTGTAGCTGGCCATCTGTTAAGGCCTTTCATTTTTGCGTTAGTGTGTCATCTGGTAGGCTTTAATGCTGTGATATTTCCCAGAGCTAGTTATATAAACTATAACCATTCTAATGAGCGGAAAGCAGACGTATCCTTGCAACACTGAATGCAAAACTGCTGGGTCCAAAATAACTTTGCCTTTTACAATGATAGGTTGTAAATTGCTTGGATCAGCAGTTCGAAGTTGTTTGGTTGCTGTCTTCAGTCATAATTTTTTGAATAGTTAGTCATTCAGACAGTGGTTTTCTTAAAGTCTGTTTATAGTTCTAGAAGGATAGTAATTTGTATAATGCAGCATCAGCCAATTCAAAACAGTTTAAAATATCTACACTACTTAGAAGTATTTCTGTTTGCATGAAATTTTTCCTGACACAAATATGTTTTAAATTTGCCACAATAGCTGCATAATGCAAAAGCAAGTTTAGGTATTGAGAGGACAGTTTTATATGTTGAAAAGTAGACATGAACTAACTTGAGTAAGTAATGAGAAAATGGCTGTGATCAAATTTCCTCTTTGCCATTTATTCCTTTGGGACTTGACAAAATTCTGAACCTGATGACCAAAGCGCATTGTCTTATGTCTCCCAGTATTGATGAAATTGTAGTGCTCATATAGCTTGTTCTTCTTTGTTTGTATATTTTTTATCCATGTTTCAGAAAACTTTCTAAGGTTAAATCTTGCATGTTTGAACGTATGGTATTTTAACCGATTGTTTTATAGGGGCCTCCAAAAGGAGGGTGGTGGGAATTCTGTGGGTGATAGAATAAGAATTGCAACCAGTTTGGAATGGAGAAAGTGACATTTGCACTTCCAGTGGATAGCCTCAATTTTGAATGTGTGCACACTGAACAACCTGAAAACACTATTTTTTTCTTTCATTGGATATTGCCTAGGCCAGAATTTATTTCCCATCTCCAGGTGCCCTGAAACGGAGTGGCATTTTGGGCTATTTCTGAGGGCAGTTAAAAGTCAACCATCCAGATTCATGTGTGAATGAATTTTTTTAAAAGTAGATTTGATTGATTTTATTGCCACATGTACCGAAATACAGAGAAAAGCTTTATTTACGAGCGGTGCAGGAAGATCACAGCAAGCAAAGGATGTACAGATCAAAAAGACTTAGAGACATACAGGTTACATTGCAGGTTACATTATTTGAGGCTACAGTCCATTCAACAGTCTGACAATGATTGGAAAGAAAGAAACTGTTCCTGAAGCTGCTTATGTGTGTGTTCAGGCTTCTGTATTTTCTGCCTGACGGAAGAGGTCGTAGGAGGTCATTACCAGGGTGTGATGGGTCTTTGATAATATTGGCCGCTTTTCTGCAGCAGCGAGCCGTGTAGATAGAGTCCATGGGTGGAAGGTTGGCTTCTGTGATGGCCTGGGCTGTGCACACAACTTTCTGTAGTTTCTTACAGTCCTGGGCAGAGCAGTTGCCACACCAAGCCTTTATGCACCTGGACAGTATGCTTTCAATGGTGCATCTGTAGAGGTTGGTGGGCGACCTTATGGACATGACAAATGACAAATTTCCTGAGCCATCTGAGGAAGAAGAGTTGTTGGGCCTTCTTGACTGTCGCATTTACGTGGGAAGTCCAGGACAAGTCGTCGGTTATCAATTTAATTCGGCAGAGATTTTGAATTATATCCAGCTATTTGTTTTCCTATATTATTTGAATAGAACATTTTTTTGTATTTAGCTTGTATTTAAGGTGTTACATAATCTGGTGATTCACCGTACACTTGTAATATTATTGTTCCTCCTTGCTTTGTGATGCTGAACTGTTTAGACACCTTGCATGTGTCATTACCTGTGGATGAACATGATTGTGCAATTATTAGTTGCAGTGTAATTAAGCATAATTTTAGATGATTATTCTGTTAATTAACTTAAACTTAGGGCAGTAATCTATAAAATGATGTAAAACTGAAAGGACCACATAGAAACAGGTGAGAAGTTATAATAGAAACAAGTAATCATCCATGTCAGCATTTATCCTCCAAGCAATCAATTGGTTTTAATCATGCATTAATGCGACATGGTGGCTCAGTGGGAAGTATTGCTGCCTCACTGTGCCAGGAACAGCGGTTTGATTCCACACTCAGGCAACTGTCTGTGTGGAATTTACACATTCTCCCCGTGTATGTTTGGGTTTTCGCCAGGTGCTCCAGTTTCCTCCCACAGTCCAACAATGTGCAGGTTAGGTGGATTGGTTACGTAAATTACCCATAGTGTTCAGGGATGTGTAGATTAGGTGCGTTGGCCATGGTAATTGCGGGGTTACAGGGATATGGTAGGGGGATGGGTCTGTGTGAGCCGAATGGCCTGTTTCACACTGTAGGGATTCTATGGAACATCATCTCAAGCCCCTGTCCCAAACTGAGTCTTGACCTAGTTTCTACTTCCTGATGGTAAGTTCCATCGTACCTGAACACTCTGTACAAAGTTTCTCCTCTTCTTTGTTTGAAACCCATTGTATTTAATCTTGTGTTTGTGGCTCCTCGTTCTTGATCCCTCAACAGCAGGTAGTAATCTCCTATTTTGCCATAATGGTGGTGTCCTACTTCCTGGAGCAGTAAGGCAGCCTGCTCTGGAGTTGTGTAATGACATCTCTAAATGGGTTGAATAAAAATATCTCCCCCATCGCTTCACAATTTAAAACTCTTTATTGCATTCCCTGTCAATTTTTTAAAAAGGCCAATTCTTGCATCTTCCTTATTCCTATTCGCCTACACCAGGCAGGGTTAAGTTTGCAAATTAAATTTTTACATATTCCTTCAATTGTGTTACAGTTTTGTAACTCCTGTCTCTATGTTTTTAGTCTAATGAGACACAACTTAGATATTGAAACTTTTATGCATATTTTATTCATCTGGATTCTTATAGGATTTCAGGGATTCAGTGATCCAATCTTCAAGACAGTATGGAAAGCAAGTGATTGAAGATAAGATCTTGAACCAGATCCTATACTACCTGCCACAGCTGTATGAACTAAATCGGGGTCTGCTACGAGAATTGGAGGAAAGAATGGCTCATTGGTAATGGATCTTTCAGCATTTGACTTGATAAAATCTATTTCCTAACAAGTATAAGCTTTCGAATCTGATAAATAATGATTTATGAAGAAAGTTTCAGGAATATGGGTTTCTCTTTGGGAGGAGGTCACTGTTAAAATAAGGTAATAATCCAGAAATAGTGACTGGCAAGAGCTGCTAGTGAGAAGGGAAATGGTGGCATAGTGGTAATGCCACTAGATTAGTGATCTAGAGGCCTGTGTTAGTTATTTGAACTGATTGATAAGCAAAAAAATGTAATCTATTGTCAGTTGAGTGCAACACAAACAACTGCTTTTTGTAAGCCTACAGTGAAAAGTCTACAAGAACTCTGCGACATTAAAATATTCACTGAGTGACCATTGCATCACTTTCAGATAGTCATCTGGAGGCAGAACCCCAGAGTGATTTAAAATGGCCCAACATTTAGTTCTAGGGCTACGAGCCCTGGAAATTCTCCCAACAACTCGGTCCTGTTTGCACTTTGACATATTTACTAGTTAAATGAGTTCAAATGATGAGAATTTCTACACAGTTTCCCAATATGGGGTCTTGCACTTGAAAATAAGCATGCCTTCATTTCACAATCTATTGAATCACAAAGTGATAAATATAATCAAAGACCTCCAAAATCTTGATCAAGCAGCATTCTGCTTGTGTGACTGATGACCCATAGAATTCTACAGCATTCATAACTGAGTCTGACCTGCTAATTATCTGACACTACCAACTCACAATTATCGTAGAATTTGCAGGAGTAGGATTCTTCTCCTGTTTTGAGTTGTGTTCAATATCTCCATTGTCGCCACAGCTAAATTGGCATCTATTTTGATTGTGTGTCCTGCATCAAATTTATCCACTGAACCAGGGAGTGTAAACTACAGCAATCATCTTTCATGTACCAACTATAGTTCTATGCCAACATTATCAATTTTGCCTGTCTTTAATATTGGATTGCTTTTATTTCTGTTCCACATTATCAAAATAATTTTGTAGGGAAGAGCATCAGAGAATAGCTGATATCTTCATGGAGAAGGGACCGTACCTCAAGATGTACTCAACATATATCAAAGAATTTGACAAGAATGTTTGTTTGTTGGATGAACAATGCAAGAAGAACCCTACTTTTGCAAATGTGGTTAGAGAATTTGAGGTAATAACCATTCTTTAGATCAGCATCAAATTTAGCATTTTGCTGCTATACATGTATATTTTTTCAGCTAGATGCAAGACTTGATCATTTATGTAGCCTCCAAAATACATCATGTGAAATGCTCCAATGTTTTCCAACTGGGTTACGAATCTTCTTGTCTGCAAAATTTCAGGCTTCTCTTTTCTTTTAGATGAGTACTCGCTGTGCAAATCTGGCACTCAAACATTACCTGTTAAAACCTGTCCAGAGGATTCCACAATACAAGCTGCTTCTAACAGGTATTGTTACTTCATTATTTCTGAAATATGTGTTCATGGTGGAGTGCTTAAAAATATTCCCACTATTTGACGGAAGACAACTTCATTCAAGATACATTAGACATTCAGAGTGTGTGTTTATGTAGCATTGGAGTTGGTTACTAGAAGATCCCAGTTACGGTTTGTAATATAATGTTTAAAAAGGTTTTCAATTTAATGGATCTAATTTAGTTCATTTTTGATTTAAGTTTGCAAACTAAAGGTACTACTGTTTGCAGCATTCCTTGTGTTGTGCCTTGCCAGTTCATAGTAATTTTGGATAGACTGCATTGACGTAGACTGCATTGTAAATCCAAGTATTATATTTACTGTATACCATGGTAGGAAAATATAAAGTGTAGCCTATGTCATTCTTTAATTAACTTTTAAGAGTCTCATAATTCCATATTGAATGCATTGAAGCCACAATGAATAATGGCAATTTGAAAGTGGTATTGACCTGCCTTTGCATTAAAGGCAGAAATTATTCTTTGTATCTTACCTGCTGTATATCAAACTAATTTAACTGAATCATTTATCTCAAGATAAATATCTGAACGTTTTGTGCTTTATATAAATGACATAGTTGAATATGTAGATGGGTCGATTAGTAGGTTTGCAAGCGATACAAAGATCGGTAGAGTTGCGGATAGTGTAGAAGGTTGTCACATAATGCAACGGCATGTAGATCAGTTGCAGAAATGGATGGAGAAATGGCAGATGGAGTTTAATCTGGGTAAGTGTGAGGTGCTGCACTTTGGGAGATCAAATGTTAAGGAGAAGTGTATAGTTAATGGCAGGACCCTGAACAACATTGATGTACAGAGGGATCTTGGGGTTCAAGTCCATAGGTCCCTGAAAGTGACCACTCAAGTGGATAAGGTGGTAAAGAAGTCATACGGCATGCTTGCCTTTATTGTTTGGGGAGTTGAGTGCAAGAATCAGCGTGTAATTTTGTAGCTTTATAAGACTTTGGTTAGGCCACATTTCGAATATTGCGTTCAGTTCTGTTTGCCGCATTATAGGGAGGATCTGGAGGCTTTGGAGAGGATGCAGAAGAGGTTTACCAGGATGCTGCCTAGATTAGAGGTATTAGCTATAAGAGAGGCTAGAAAACTCGGCTTGTTTTCTCTGAAGCGGTGAAGACTGAGGGGAGACTTGATAGAAGTCTACAAAACGGTGAGATGTATAGATAGTGTTGACGGTCAGAACCCTTTTTTCCCCAGAGTTGAAATGTGTAATGCGAGAGGGCACACATTTAAGGTGAGAGGGGGAAAGTTCAAAGGAGATGTGAGGGGCAAGTTTTTTTTACACAGGGAGTGGTAGGAGTCTGGAATGTGCTGCCGCGTTGGTGGTGGAGGCAGATACAATAGGGGTATCTGGTTGACTTTTAGATAAGCACATGAATATGCAAGGAATGGAGGGATGGTGGACCCAGGGCAGGCTGAAGGGCCTATTCCTCTGCTGTACTGTTCAGTGTTCTATGTTTTGTCTTGAGATGAAGATGCATGTAGACCTTGCTTTAAAAAATGCTTATCACAATTCCTTTTTATATCTTCACTCTTCATTCCTCCATCCATTCATGGGGCATCTTGTAACTCTCACAAAAATAAGTACAAGAATAGAGTAGAATACAATACTCTTCTCACAAGTTATTTTCCTCCATCAAGGAAAGTACATTGACATCTCCCCAAATTGTCACCACCAAGGTGAAGAACATTCTGTGTTTAGAAAAATGCCTTGGTAGTCCAACTTTTGAACATTGCTGAAGAAAAAGCTGCGTTGGCTAAGCTTATCATGTTGCAGTGGTAAAAAAAATTGTTCCTTTTGAAGTTGATATTCTTGCAATTCAAGCAGCACTCCCTTAGCAATAACCTCACTGATGCTCAGTTTGGATCTGCCAGCGCCACTCGTATTCTGACCTTATAACAGCCTTAGTTCAAGTATGGATAAAAAAGCTGAATTTTGGAGGTGAGGTGAGGGTAACAGCCCTTGACATCAAGGTTGCGTTTGACTGAGTATGGCATCACGGAGACCCAACAAAACTGGAGTCAATGGGAATCAGGGAAAACTTACCACTGATTGGAGTCATACCTGGTACACAGGAAGATGATTGTGATTGTTGGATGTCAGTCATCTCAGTCCCAGACATCTATACAGAAAATGCACAGGGTAGTGTTCTTGGCCCAGCCATCTTCAGCTCCTTCATCAATGACCTTCCTACCACCTATCAGGTCAGATGTGGGGATGTTCGCTGATGATTGTGCAATATTTAGCACCATTTTTGACTCCTCAAATACTGAAGCAGTCCATGTCGAAAAGCATCTGACCTGGACAATATCCAGGCTTGGGCTGACAAGTGGCAAGTATTATTTGCACCACATAAGTGGCAGGCAATGACCATATCCAACTAGAGAGTATCTAACCTTTGGTCCTTGACATTCGGTGACCTTTGCTGAATTTCCCACTATCAACATCGATATCAATGATGGATGTTAGCATCAACCAGAAACTGAACTGGACTTGTGATATAACCACTTTGGCTACAAGAATAATTTAGAAGCTAGGAATCCTCAGCAAGTAACCCACCTCCTAATGCCTAATCTGTTACAGATATACCTTGACATCAAGGGAGTCTTGGGGTTTTGATCCAGTGACAGTGAAGGAACATTAGTTAGTTTCAAGTCACGATGGTGTGTGGTTTGGAAGGGAACTTGCAGATAGTGGTGTTGTCATGCATTTTCTGCCCTTGTCTTTCTAGGTGCTAGAGATTCCTGATTTGGAACGTGCTGTTGAAGGAAAGTTGATAATTTGCTGCAGATGTGGACACGTCAGTGCCACTCTGTACTCGTGGAGGAGAGAGAAAATATTTAAGTTGATTGATTAGTGTTCTGATCAAGGGAGATATTCAGAGACGGATCATCTCAATATCTGGCAATTATGTGACATGACTATTATGTGCCATGTATCAACCCAAAGTTGAAAGTTGTCTGGATCTTGCTGCATAAGGATCAAACTTTTTCAGAATCCGAGGAATCACTGATGCAAATTGTGCAACGATCAACTAACATTCCCCTTCTGATTTTACGTTGGACAGAAGGCCATTGATGAATCGGCTGAAGATAATACCCTGAGGAACCTCTGCACCAACATTCCGAGTTGAGATAATTGACTCCAAGACCACAGCCTTTTCTTATGTGCTAGGTTTGACTCCAACAGTGGAACTTTGTATTCCTGATTCCCATTAGCTTCAGATGTGGTAGAGGTCCTTGATGCCAAACCCTATCAAATGCTACCTTGACATCAAGGGCTGTTACCTTTATCTCATAGAGTTGAGTTCTTTATGTTTGGACATTGAGGTCAAGTGGTCCTGGTGGAACCCAAACTGTTGCATGCCTTTGGTTTAATCTGAAACAAATTATTGACATCTATGTATTCCTAAATAAATGGTGTCGTCGTAGATGCCCTCTAGGTCCACTGCACAAACATTTTTAAGCCTTTCCATGGGAACTGCTTTTTCAATTGAATGAGTCTAATTTCCTACTCAATGCGTATTTCTAATATGTATGCAATCCTCAAATCTGCAGCCATCCATACAACCTTATTAAGCTCTGATAAATGCTCAAATTCACTGTTTAGATGGGGCAGTCCAACACAACTTCACTTTCTGCAACAACAGGCCTTTTATTTGAAGATGCAACAAAAAAAAAATGACACCTAGCTATTAGAAAGTTACAGAAAAAATGCAGCATGTAGCTGAAGGATTTTGTCTTGCACTGATCAGGTCATGTGTAGAAATAATTGCAACAATTTATACCACAGGAAAAAAAGATTGGCAAGTCTGCTCTGTTCGAGACATTGTCATATAGAATGCTGTGGGGAACAATAGACTCCTCGAACTCCCACGTAATTTTAAAAAAGGCATGATGAATGGACATTTTCCTCTTATCTACAGAGAGCAGGTCCCTGCATATTGAAACTACATTGCTTCCAGCAAGTCTATAGTGCCACAATACAAGCTTCACTGCTTTATCTTAAATTGATCATTTGTGTAAGTATTAGCTCACTCAGGATTATTCAGCAAGTTCTGCTCAATTGCAGAGTCACATTTAGTGGTAGATATTTTATTTTGGGTTTGCAAGGACAGGCTGGATGATTATAGTCTACTCCTCTATTAAGAACAATTGAAAGAACATGCTGTTTAATCTGTCAGTCATCGAGATATATGGCCTACCTACCCATTATCGCTGTTCCACTAAAATTTGTACAGAATGAAACCAATACATGTCTTTGGGCTGATAACAACATCCTTTTAATGGAAAATACCACTTAGATAGCCATTGTAGCAGTGCAAGATAACTTGCTCAAGCTGTTGACTACATATTTGAGATTCCTTGCACTTCCAGGTTAATTTGAGGTAGACTGGACACTTTTCAAGTTAACTGTTGGCAGCCTTTAGCCCATTTGTAAGTTCGCAAGATACATTACTAACAATGATAAGATCAGGCAAGCCATTGCCCCACAGGATAATTTTGATGCATTCTATTTCTGCATTCACCTTGCAAGTTGATCAAAATGCCTTATTTTAGAAGATTGCTTATGACTCCAGTTTTGTAATGTGTGAACCTATACAAGTCCCAATGCGCATTTTAAATTGTAAAGATAGGCTTGTGGTAAACAGTAGTTGAAAATTCATTATTGGATTTCTCAACTAGCATGTTGAAGAAAGGTAAGTGTGTTGGACTGCTCCGTCACAAAAGTGAATTTGAGCATTTGATGGAGGGTGGTAAGGTGTGTAAGGAATGTTCAAGGACTGTGTACATACAGGAAATATGCACTATATAGGAAATTAGAGCTTATTCAATGGAAAACCTGTCTCAAGGAAAGGAATAAAAATATTTGTGTGCATTGGACCCAGAGTGCTTCCATGGCCACGCCATCATCTTAGGTTACAGCAGTGTCATTAAAATAACTGAGGGTTG